ACAGGCACAAGAAGGGGAAGCTTGTCAAACGGGCTGTTCCAGAAGGTCTTTGGTGTATGGTTAATTTTTTACTGCTGATCAGTGCTGGTGTTAATTTTTGGATTTTGCATTAAAATGATTATGATTATTATATTGGATCTGCACACTGTCTAGAGGCCTCTCAGAATGAGGTAGTAGATAATAATTTGTTTCTTATTTATGCAATTTATTACTTGCTGCCTACGGCTATCTGGTGTAATAAAGGGTTATATGCAATTAAAATAAAAACTTTCTAGTTCATAGGTCATAATTTTGGCTACCTACAAGTGTTCCTTTTTTTTTTCTTGCAACATTTGCAAATTCTTATCCCCATTTATCATAAAATATAAATTCAAAATCCATACCAAATGGAACAAACTCAGCAAGCAAATGTATTCCACAAAATGATTTATCTTAAGGTCCAGCATTCTGTCATAAACTATATGCATTTTTCTTCCAAAGTTGGAAAAAAACAGTAACCAGATTAAAATGGCCTGGATTTTCACAAAGCAGCTTTTATTGTTTTCCTTACTATAAGGTTTATCCTGTTTTGTCTCTCCAGGCTGCAAGTGTAAGAAGATTGTTCTTTTTGCCTATACTTTGAAATAGTATGTCTTGCTGCTAGCAGATGCTGTGACATTTACAGGAGATTATGGGAATTACAGTGCTACATTTGAAGGGCACCAGGTTGGGAAAACCTAGTAGGTTTTGGTTTTGATACCCATTTGGGAAATAAAACAGAATCATGAGTTGAATGATAGCCAGCTTAGAACTTCCTATGGGTACTGTCAGATCCGCAGTAAGGGCCTCAGAACTAGTTTGGCCTCCTTGTGTCAAGAAAACAACAACAAGATGTATTATTTCAATCTGACAGAGGATTCAACTTGCAATACTCACTCTTACTCCAGGCCTGAGAGAAAGAATATGGAAGAAAAAGGAGGAGAAGCCATGTTACATGGCCTTGCATCATCTTTCAAAGTCTCTAAAGCACATTTAAGGAAGGCAAATATTCATAAAAATAGGTTGGGACTTCACTGGTCAAGAAGTAAAATCAGGAGCCAGCTGCAAATAATTTGCTCAGAGGGGCAAAAGAGCAGGTTGATCATCCTTCAGAACAGAAAGGGCAAGGAAATCTTTTAGAAAATGAGCCGCCTTTTCCCTTAAGACAGAAGCTCACAATCCAAGATCAGGGGCTCAACTCTTTGTTACACCATCATTAGCCTCCTTGAATAGGAGAAACAAATACAGGATTCATGCAAAGAATCTGAAAAGGAACATCCTTCCGAGGTGCACTTACCTGGGCACATGGTAGTACAGGCAAGCTTCTGGAAAGATTGTCCATCACAAATAGAGCCACCGTTGAGAGGTGCAGGATTGGTGCAGGTTCGGGTACGTTTCTGCCATCCACGGCCACAGCGGTTGCTGCATGGGGACCATTCTGACCAGGTAGACCAGCCACCATTCACTATGAGCCGGGAAGGAAATGAAAACAAATAAAGTGAGGGGAAAAAAATAAAGTACAACCTCCTAATAATTCACCTTTCCTCTTGGCCAAATCCTGCACTGGCATTTCCTACATGGAATAACCCCACAGAAGATTTTCCATACTCTATGAATCTCCTGAGACACGCAACAGCGGCTCATCCTTATGCACATTCTTCGGGAAGATATCACCTGATTCCATCTAACCAGAGCAATCAACAAATGAAGGATAACATGGCATCAAAACCACAGGAAGCTTATTTCTGAGACAATATGAGATCTAGCCCCCAATCATATAAGGAAGGTTAGAGGAGTATATAGTTCTGGGAATATGGTCAGAATTTGATGAGAATTTGGGGTTGGCTCAAGAAATTAAAGTGAGTGAATCCTTCAGGGAATTAGGGAGGGTGACACAGATCAGCACACAAAGGTCCCAGGCTCAAGCATATCCTGGTAACAGAAGGAAAGATTCATGTCTGAAAAACTGAATTGCTGCTGCTAGTATGTATGGAACTGCTAGTCTACAGAGAGCTCCCAATGGCCGATGTCCACAAAGCAAGACAACTGAAATAATAAAGGCTATTAAGATCAGCCTGTTGAGAGAGAAGAAACATCCAGTGAAGGTATTTTTTGTGCTGACTCTTTAAGATGCCTTCTGCTCTCTTTTTGTATTTTAGATGATATACCAGGGTAGTTACTAGTACATCACAACTGGGTTCCACATGATGGGATTGGGAAATGATTGCTTCCATAAGTTATTCCCAGAACTCCTGTAAATTTCCCTAGAAATAACATCTCTCCTCCTCAGAGCTGCCTATTCCATCCTCTGACAACTTCATAGATATGTCCATGCTGTTTTCTTAGCAACAATATAGAACTGGTTTGCCATTATCTTCTTCTGGTATGATATTTCACCTTCTAGGTCTAGCCTATATCCCTTATATTTCCTAATGGTTTCCCAACCAAATACAACTGAGTCTGAACTCATTTAACTTTTCTAAGATCAGCGACTGCAGCAAATTGTAGTCCTAGCATTCTCCTACAGAAACCATTTAGTTTACCCAGACTCCCACCCCCAAGTTCTCAACAGCAAAGAATCATTACCATAAACAATTATTGTGGCCGTGGTGCTCCGCCGTTTGGCAACAATGTTTTTG